TGGATCTGTCCTGTAACAACCTCGTTTCCCTGCCGGTAAGACGCTAGGGAGCCTTGCTGGACGTGAGGGCAGGCCGCGAGGAAAGATTCCGAGCAAATGACACGAGGTGCCGTGGGAGGTTGGGAACTGGCACTTGTCTCATCCCGGGGCTGGCTGCATGACGACACCGCTGCTTAACGGGGGTGGTAATGGGAGCTTTTAGTGAGGCAAGCAGAATGCAATAGGACGCGTTTCTCCTTCGAAAGAAGCTCTTTCTCCTTGTTTTTTTTCTGCCTGGGTTTTAGTCGGACTTCTGTAGTTTGATGCATCTGGTGAAACTGGATTTGAGTAAAAATCGGCTCCAACAACTGCCCTTGGACTTTGGCCGCCTGGTCAACCTGCAGCACCTGGACCTTCTGAACAACCGTTTAGTCACCCTGCCAGTCAGCTTTGCACAGCTCAAGGTAAAAGCCACTTGCTAGGCAGTTACGTAAAGCTTGGGAGGCAATCCAGGGTCTTGTGATTCCTCTCAAGTTGTTCTCTCGGCTAAAGCATCGGTTCTGCTCACTACTCATTTCAAAATTCATCTGGGCTCTGCAACGCAGCTCAGTGGAAATTACCTCATTTCTGCTGAAGCAACCCCTGCCTGAGCTCTCTGCTCATCTTCTGTCCCTGCTTCATTTATCTGAAATTTAAGTAGCTTTTTGCTGCTGTTTAGTATTTCTAGAATAATCACAAGACCGTGCGCTGCGCGTGTGCTCTTACAGCCTCCCGCTTGTCGTTCCTTTCTGCAGAACCTGAAGTGGCTGGATCTGAAGGACAACCCCCTGGATCCTGTTCTCGCTAAAGTAGCAGGGGACTGTCTGGATGAGAAGCAGTGTAAACAGGCTGCTGTCAGGGTAAGGAATCTACTTGCCATTTATTTTCCATTCTTGGGTTTGCTGGTTGCTGTTTTTTCTCCTATTGCTTAGCAGGTTGGTCTGCTACTGCAGCAGTTTGAAATTTCTTCAGGTGTTGGTAATCATGCAGTGAATTTATTGCCTCCTTGCCGCAAGGTTCTTTTTCATTAATGGAGTTAAAGGTATTAAATGCTGGTTGCTAGGAAAGCACAGATACATTTAGGCAAATAATCCATGTGCAGCCTTACACTGTACAGTACGACAATCTCTCACAAAGTGCTGCCAAACTATAAGCTCACATGAATAGTTGTTGCTGGGAGCTGTGCAGCAAGAATAGTTGTCTGGGTCTGTGTTGCTGCCTTGTACTAAGAAGTCAGGCTCATAAAAGAACAAGTGTTCTGTGATGCTCTGTATTAGCTAGCAGCAGTTTGCCTTGCTTTGTAATGAAAATACCTTTTTCTTAACTGCATGGACTAAAACGGGAAGGTCAGAGTTCTCCTTGGAGCCATACCTGTAAGGCTAAGTCCTCTGCGTGCAAATATATCAGATGCTCCTGCTGAGCATCTTCTGCCAGTTGTCAGCTCCACTCTAAGTGTTCTGTTTTGAAATGAGCATGCAAAGAACCTTCTGCATTTCTCCCATATTGTTTTCTCGAACCTTGAAGGTCCTGCAGCATATGAGAGCAATCCAGTCTGAGCAGGATCGGGAAAGGCAACGGAAGCTCCAAGCAGAGCGAGGTAGGTGTAAAGAGCCCTCGTGCACTCTCTGTTGAGGACTGATCCTGATCTCTGTTACAAACCCAAACACACTCACAGCCATCTAACAAATACCTGTAACTGTCACAGTTCTGAGGACCCAAGGAGTCCTGGGGAAGGAGGGAGAAAGACAGTTTGGGATAACTGCGTAGTTTCTTGTCTGGAAAATAGTTTGGTTCCCTAGAGAAAATGTGCTACAGGTTACACATAAAAAGGATGAAGGAAGAACATAGGATTTACTTTAAGAGAAACCCTAAACCACAGGGAACAAGGCGGAAGGTATGTAGTATTTTAGAGAAATAATTCAGAGTACTTACTTGACTGTTTCCCTAGTACAGTGGGGAACAGGTAAGCATGTGATAAGGAACAAGGCAATGAAATCCATTCACATCAAGAGAAAAAAAAAATCTTGTATTAATCCTTAGAAATGGAGAAGAAACGCGAAGCAGAACAGCGAGCAAAGGAAGCTCAACAGAGGGAACTGCGGAAGCGAGAGAAGGCAGAGGAAAAGGAACGCAGAAGACGGGAGTACGATGCTCAGAGAGCTGCAAAGCAGGAGATGGAAAAGCAAACTAAAAAAGAAACTGTTCAGACGCGAAGTAAGTTGCCTCCACAGTGGGTCCAAGTATTCTGTAGAGACTGCTATGTAATATTTGAATTTGTAACTTGAGCACAGCATAGGAAAAACAAGTGGAGTAGAGTACTACCCTAGAGATTGCATCAGTCTTCCTCAGATTCTGATGGTGAGGAATGGTCAGAGTTGTAGGGAAACAGCACAGTAGGAGAACTTGTTGGAAATCTAACAGGTGAACAGCTGGAGGAAAACAAGACAACACTTCAGTATCTTTGACTGATGGCTGAGCCACAAGATTCCTAAAATTTCCTAAGCAGAACTTTCCTCCATTCATTTCTTTTTGAATGAACTGAGATCTACGTACAAAACAGAACTTGGGCAATAAAGGTGCCTCACACCCTGCTCATTTCCACCTGAATCAATCTGAAACGTTCATCCTAGAGGGGTAGATCCTCTGCATTTATTTACTAACATGTAAGGGGTAAGAATTCATGACAAAAGACAGCTATAGAACTAGCTATGGCATCTTACGTGAGCTTCTATTTTCCCGATATAGATTGTTCAAAGATGTTTCTGATTCTCTCATGGAACTGTTCTTGTTGCAGAGCCTCCCTCCAACTCCCGTCCACCTCAACCACCGAGGCGCAAGCACTCCTGGTCCCGCTCGGTGTTGAGAGTCCTGCTCTTTGTGCTGCTCTGCATCCTCTGTACTTTGGCAGTCTGCAAGCTGACAGAGCTGCAGCATCAACCTCTGTGCATCAGTGTGAACACTCTCTATGAGGACGTGGTAGCTGCTCTGCAAAACCACAAAACCCTGCAAAATATGCTGTGATTCTCCTGGATGGGCACTTGCTTTGTCAGCATCTCCTTCCACCATCTACGCAGCCAGAATTCCTATGGAATTGTGTTCTGATGAAACTGCTTTTAATCAGTCAGCATTGATTTGCTGGTCCACTCCACACAGAGCAGAATTGCTGTTCAGATCATCTTTGCTGTGCATGTTTCTCAGCTGGCCTGTAATTCCCAGTGTTTGCCCACATTAACTTAAAACTTGTTAACACTTCTTACCTCCCAAAGGTTTTTGGCTAGATTGTAATATGTGGAAAGCTGCCAATTAACAGGAGTGTGTGTGGGGGGAAAAAAGCCTCTGGTTATCTACATATCTATAGCTCTGTAAGGGAGGTTGAAAGTTTTTTAATGCATATCCATTTCTTGTCATTTGTATTCATGCTAAAATTGGTGATATGGCTGTATGGGGATAACATATGTAAGGCCCACTCCGGGACCAATTACAAGGCTGTAGGATGGTTGTGCATCCGTATGTTGGAGTGAAGAAGATGATGTACTATTGAAAGCTGAACATTTTCAATACAACAATTTTCGCAGCATTTTGTCTTGATTGGATGCTTATGTTGCTAATATAGAATATGCTTACCTTGCTTTTTTTTTTTTAAAGAAACTATAATACTAGTTTACTAGTATTTACTAGAATACTATAAAATGCTTCCTGGCTAAATACAGTAACCATTACCTTTAGCCATCCAGGGCCAACAAGGCAGCTATAGTTTAGGAAGGACTTCTACAGACTGGCTTTTTGGGTGTAAAAATAGGAGAGCTGAGAGACTGCAGAAAGTCAGTGGGTAAGTGCCTGTTCTTGGCTTCCAGTCATAGCAGCACTATGCAACACTGGGTGGCACTGGTGCAGCATCACATACTGAGGCAGTCTTGGTAGAAATAGGCTTCACCTCGGACCTCTTGGAAGGGCTGGGACCTGGAGCCTTTTGTATCTTAAGAAAAAAAACTCAGTTATGTGACAAGCAGTGGGCAAAAGCCTATAAATTATTTGCAGTTAAGGTGCAGGGAAAAACAAATAGAAGCTTTTCAAATCCTTGAAAGAATTGAGTGCTAAAATGAATTGAAGTATTTGTGCATATAATGGTCTAAGAGCAGGTTCCAGAGAATAAGCACTAGCAGCCTCCACCAGGATGCGCATACATGAGTCATCAGAAATGCTCCCAATTATTGCTGGCAAGAGCAGTGCCATGATTGAAAGTGTGTATCATTTCATAGAAGCAGCAACTCTTCATCCTTGTGTAGCCTAAGGATGAGGCAGTGGCTTCTGAACTACCTTGGGGAGAAATGCAACAAGAATTCAAGCTAAAGGGAAAGAAGAGCGGCGTACCTCTCTGCTTAGACGTATTTCTTTTAAAGCTTCCCTGAAACTACTGTAGCCTTTGCAGTTGATATCTAACTTATCACATCCTTAAAACAGTTCTTGCTTAGTATCCAGAAGTGTCCGAACATGACAAACAACATCCAAAGCAACATTTCCTCTTGGCAGAAATGCCTTCTGGCAAGAATCTTCTGCTGTGTGTGCCATCTAAGAGATGGTGCTGCTTATATTAGCAAAGTTAACAAATACCAACCTATTAAGGCTTATTAATTCAAGTCAAAAGCAAGGCAAAGATACCTGCTCAATGTGTGAAGCTGGTGTAGCTGCTTGATATTTTTCATCCGAAGACAATTCCAGTGGGTAAATTCCATTCATTGTGTGCAGTTTAATTTACTCTCAGCATTCCTCTCAGTAAGTACTTTTGTAGTGAAAGACCTCAGCTGTCTTTGTGTATACACATAAGTGCTGATGGCTTCAGGGACAGTCAAGCACGTTCCCCAATCTAATTAAAAGCAAGATTTTTCTGCCAACTGTTTAGACCTCATAATTCCAGCCCATATAATCAGATTTCAAGACCCTCTATAGATTAAGCTGTCTGGAGACTGAATCAGGACAGTCTGAATTTATATCTGAAAATTAGTCTTACTCATTCCCATCTGCCACAGTACAAAATATAAACAGGGTTATTTCATGAGATAAAGCTCTTCTGTCTCACCACAGCAGCATGTTGTGTCTTCCATTACGATTTTTCACACTGGAGAGCAAAAGTAACTACTTTCAGTTTAGGGTACAAGTAGAAAAACACAGTTTCTTTAGAACACATAACTGTTTTCAGTCGAGCCTACATGCAAGAAGTAATGAATATTAGATACAATTTATTTCCTAGGAAATGAACGTAGCTCTTTACAAATTGGAAGGTACTATCAATATTGTAGCCATGTCAAAATCAGGGTCCCATGGGAGATGTTCGCTGTGCTCCTTGTGTAGACTCCATCCATTAGCAATTTTAACCAACTTTCTTCTACCATGATAAAAATGAATTGATTTTTAAGTCTTTAAACTAGGAGTCATGATTGCATTTAGGATGATGAATATTTAAGTCAGGCAAACAGAAAAATACTCGTTCCCTTGGGTTACTCTGTGAAATCCAAACAGAGATCAGGATCATGGGAAGTCATCTGCAGGTAGATTCGTCTGGAGAGCTCTGGTCCGATGCGTCGCGTGGTGGCTGTCACACCCTCACCACGGCGCACAACGATATTAGCCAGCATGTTTTCCTGCTCCTCCTCTGAGGAACATTTGCTGTAGGCCTAAAAGCAGTATAAAGGAATGATGGTAGCATCCACTTGCATCCATTTCAAAAAAAAAAATCCAAAGTTAAGCACCTGTGACTGCTCTTTCACAATTTGCACTCATTTTTCACTGAACTCTCGACAGACGTCAGATGTGAGATTAGAGGTAGATAGAGAACCTATTCTACTTCATTAAGAGAACAGACTCACTTAAGATGAGCATGCAGATGCAAAAGGAAGAAGTGAATACGTCAGCTTAATCAGCCAGTTCCTCAGTACTAAGTAACCTGTTCTGTAAAACCAAAGCAATAGGTGCAAATAAATCAGTTTCTTCAGTACCTCAGTATAACAGTTCATATGGAATTGATTGCATTACAATTATATCAATTAAAAATTAGTCAGCTGTATGCACAATGCTTAGTATTTGTGTAGCATCCGTACCTGAACCAGAAGCTGAGGAGAAGGGTATGCAGACACAATAGCTTCTGCCATGTCAAGGCTGACCCGGTTAAATTGCTGTATCTGCCTTTTCCAAACTTCTAAGAGACCCTTACCGGTGCGATCCACCTTCACACCTCTGCACCCCTCATTCTCTACGCAGAAAGAGAATCCTGTATTTTCCCGCTCTCTCCTATGGAGAATAAAGGATAGGAAAATGAATGAGACACTGAAGCTCTGAAACAAAATCTCATTTTTGCATCTTTTGGTATATGGAGAGAGAAAGATAGATAAACACTTCTCACTCTGCACTGTTACAAATAAATGCCTAAAATGTGGTTGTATTTTCTCTAAGGACATTATCAATTTTCTTGTGCTAAGGGTGTTGTTGCTGGTCTTGTGTTAAGAACCAGTCCCATACTTGGAAGAAATCCTAGTACAAACCAAGATGTATACACAGTGGGAAAAAGAATGCACATTCAGGCTGCCAAAGATAATAGAATGTTTTATATGCCATTTTTAGAGACATCTCCTTTTATATCTGAAATACAGCAGTTGCTGTGACAGGAATGTTGATTGTTTAAGACCACACAAATAGTCTTAAAACATAACACAAACTCTACTTGGAGGAAGCAGCATCAACAGTTTTTCTGCATTGTCTGCTCCTTTAAAAAGCATTACACTGTGTTGCACCTCAATACAGCTGTATATCTGTCATTCCTCCCCAGTAATGCTGAAAGTTAAACCTCTCCCAGGAAGATATTAAAAACTCATCTGCCTACTCACTTGTATGGGGCTTCAGCCACTGCTTTAGTGAACATACTGACAAACTCCGCGAGCTCCTCTGGGCTCTCAGCAAGTCTGACTTGGACATTTGTCTGCAACAGCAAATCCACTAATGCCTGTAAACAACAGGGGAAAGAATAATTGAACAATTCATCCTCTTATCCCATCAAATTCCGCTCTTATCTGAACAAAGTAAGGATTCATCGCATCTGCTGCAGGACGAGGCCATCCACACTCTCCCCGTTATGTGAGCGGCCAGCTTGAGGCACTTGGGAATTGTAGGGGCACTCTGTTCCGGCAGTTTCGAGCCACTTCAGCTGACTTAGCTCCTCAGTGAAGAAAAAGCACCACTGGATGAAACACTCACTTAGCGGCAGACAGGAACAGAGACAAGTACTGCATGCATGTTCTAAAGGTACTCACATCTTCCACATCCAGTCTGGACACATCTGGACCAGAATCCTTAGCTTTCCTTTTTCTCCGTTTTCCCTTTTCCTCTGCTTGGTCTCCATTCACTGCTTCTGGTCGCAGCCTCTTTTTGGACTGAGTTCTGAGAGAGCTAATAGGAAGAAGACAAGGTGAGGAGGTCATGTCAGCACCAACAGCAGAGAAGATCAGCCTGCTGTGGAGTGCCCAACAACTCAGTGCCACCACCCCTACTAGGAGATACCAAACAGAGCAAACTGTCAAGGACTATTACATACAAAAACTTTGCATCTGATTATGAAAATTCCTCAGCAGCAAATTTGGGGGAGCTAGGACAGTGTTCAAAGGAAGTATAGTGTTACATCGTCTACCTCTTCTCATGCTCTACCCTGGATATTTGGTGTTGGTCACTCATGGTGACAGGCTAGGTGGAGCTTTTTTTCTGTTCTTATAAAACAGATAGCAGATAGTTCTGGGTAAGAATATGTTTTACGTTCCAGTTTTTGCTAGATGGAATTAATGAAAATACATATGATAGTTTTCAATGCCAGAGAAAACATAAAACCTTTGCAGGGGAGGAAAAAAAAAAAAAAAAAGACTAACTCGAAATAACTGTCTACTCCAACTACCACCAGTGCCAGTATCTTCCCAGGCATCTTCTCCATTACATGAGCAACAAAGCTCTGTAATGTCTCCTTCTGTCCTTCTGTGCAGCCCTGGGTCTCCTGCAAGGAGCAACAGGAAGAAAAAGAATAAATAAGAGAAGAAAAAGACTTAAACAATTTGCTTGGACAGGATAGACCAGTTCTAGAACAGAAGAACTCATGGCCCCAATTCTGCAACTGGATCTTTGCAAATGATGTCTGCTCACACATCTCCTACATGGTCAAGCTGTAGTTTCCTGCTCTGAGTCTGCCCATAAGCAGAGATGCCTGAGCGTGTCTCAAGCCTCCTTCCTACATAGCAGGAAAGGAGATTCTATTCTTGACAAACTGAAAAACTGTCAATGCTGAATATTTGCAGAGTTTTGAATTAGGATTTTTCCTAAATTCCTATAAATCATCCTTGATCCGTCAATATCTACCAGGACAACGTCACCTCAAAAATCTATGGAAAATGGAATTAGAAAGGATAGCTTGCACCTGCTATTAGCTTTGTTACACAACTTTGGTTTTGATCCAATACTTCTAAAACTAGTTAGTTTACTGGAACCTTCACTTCCTTCCCACACTAAAACCTTCCTGCCATGAAAAGAGATGACAAGAACTTCCCTTTCAGCAAGACATATCCAGAGGGTACAAAAAATAATAATAAAAAAAAACAAAACATGAGCAGTCTCACTTGTTTGTAGTTGTGAACCATGAACAAAAACTCCTCCAAGCAAAGCAGAACTAGGATATTTGGTTCTTCTGTCCATTCATTTTCTTCATCACTCTGTATAGACATGAAAATAGAAAACAGACCAATAGTTTTTTGTATAACCACTCCCTCAAAATGCTTTTCCCCTCCTGAAGCGGGAAGAAGTTTAGAAGACAGCTACTAGGGGTACTAATGACTACTGCTATTCAGTGCAAAGAGGAAAGGAAGAAAAAGGCAAGAATATCAAGATTTTGTTCCCACACCTGAGACAATACAGCCCGTCTCCTCCAAGTGATGCTGCATGGAACAGCCTGACTCTCAACCACACAGGAATAATTCTTAGACTGCAGAGCGCTGAGGACCTGGTCACCACCTTCAACCTGTAAGAGAACTGGAATTGGTGCAAGCATCAGACTTTCACAGCAAGAGCTGGGAGCTAATCCAAGACAGATGCACGCCGTGAGGAAAAGTACCTGGATCTAGCACCACTGTTATGTATTTCTGGCACTCCCCTGGTCGCTGAGCTTTCAGCATCTTGGCAAGGGTCTTCTTCCTTTCTTTTTCCTGCTCCTGCTCCCTCTTCCGCATTTCGCGCTCCTTTCTCCTCTGCCACGCAGCCTGAGAGGCTGCCTCTCTTTCCTTCTGACTATATTTTGACCTCTTTGGAGGGGGAGATGCTCCCACACTTGCGTCTTTACCTGCCAACCTGCTACTTTGCGCTGCCGAGTTAGACAAACAGTCTGTTTGCAGGCATGAGGATGACTTCCCAGAACTGCATACAGCACCATTCTGGCAACTCTGCGACACTTCTTCAGACGGTGACAGGTCCCTCAGGACCTCAGAGGGCTTTGAAAGGGACTGTCCTGTGTCAGGAATCAGAGTGGAGCTCAGGCAGCGCCCTGTTCTCTCAGCTCCACTTGCAGCATTGCCCTGCTGGGCTTGGAAAACGCTCTTCTGGCAGAGCCCACCACCCTGCAGCTTCCCCTTCAGCCTCTCCGCCAGCGGGACGATCTCTTCCTCACTCTCGCTCCCACTGCTCAGCACCACCACCGCACCCGGGCAAGCAGCCTGGCTGCCCGCCTCCCTCCCCGCCCTCGAACCGGAGGGCGAGGAGCCCCGCGGAAGCGGCCGCTGCAGGAAGGGGAAGACGGGCAGCACCTCCTCATCGCTCCCCTCCGCCATCACCAACGGCTTTACCTCAGGGTGCCACCAACGCCGCCCTGCGCGCGCGCGTGACGGCTGCGCATGCGCGCGCGCTCGGACCAACCGCCACCCGCGCGCGCGGGAAAGGGAAGGTGACGTCAGCGGCCGGGGGCAAAATGGCGGCGCTGAGGCAGCTCCGTGAGTGAAGCGCGAGGCGGCGCGGGGCGGGAGGCCGGGAGCGGAGCGGAGCGGAGCGGAGCGGGGCTGCCCGCCACGCGGCGGGGGCTCTTCTTTGATCGCTTTGCGCTGCGCCCCATCCCTTCTGCCCTTCCAAGGACGGAGAATCGCAGCGGCCCCGTCACTCTGCTCAAGGGGGGGAAAAAAAAAATATTTTGGAAAAACGCATTTCGTAAACACAACGTAGGGAGTAAGCAGCAAGGCGGGGGCTCCCGTCGCTGTGCAGTGCTAGGAGGCTGAGAAATCCCTCTATGTTACCCAGAAGTGTTTCAGTCGGGAATACTGCTGCAATTCCTGCGTGCAGGGCAGCGTGTTTAACGTTTAGTCTTGATTTTCAGGGTGATTCTTATCAAACTGCAAACTCCCTATCTTGGTGTTTCACTCTATGCATGGTCTGTGCCCCCCTCTTGTGTGATGGACCGAGATTCACTTTTCCTTAGCCATTTTCTTTTCATACGACAAAAATACAACTAGCCAGCAGCAGGTTGATCATTTGTTTGATAGATGCAATTTAACTAGGTTCTAACTTCATATAATTTATGATTTATATGATTTACGGAGCTATATGATTTATGGAGCTATAAACCTCTGTAGACCCCATTCATCTTTCCTCATTTCTCT